CCCACCAATCTGAAGAAGCCTGCATCTGTGAAAAGGAAAACAGAGTTGGAAGAAAATATACACAGTCAGCAAGTTCCCTACGGGCTGCAGATTGGAACTGCTCTTCTACAGTGTGTTGCAGCATCAAACACCACCCTGAGCCCAGCCCACAGAGCTGAGCCAGTCCCTCTGAGCAGCTGGCTGCCAGTGCCTTCATTCCCTTCTTAAAAACCTGCCTTCGGCCTGCTGAGTTCACCAGAGGGGATTGCTCGCTCCTCACGTGTCCCAAGGGTCAGGATTTGCACCGAGCCTTTCCCTGCCTGCGTTGTCACTGTGTGACAATTGGGCATCAGCTCCTGGGCCTGTTTTACCTGCCCTGCTTTTGAGGGGAAAATATCGCTTGCCAGAGAAGGCACCCAAAACCTAGGGCCGACTCGTGCATTCAGTTCCAGTGGGATAAGCCTGCTGTCTCCTGGTGTGTTGATGCAGACTGCAACAGAGCAGAGTTTTACCTTTGCCTATAAGAAAGCACAGAGCAAAAAGTTTCTAGTGTGACATGGATCCCATGAAGCACAGCAAACAGACTGACTACCTTTGACATATTCCTTATGCTTTCCTGATTTTTTTTTACATACATTTCTGTTATTCTCTCCCTCTTTGACCTTCCCAGCCATGGGAACAACCAGTGGAAGTTATGTCAGGTGTAGAAAGTGGCTCTGCAGCACATGCAAAGCCATGTGCATACACACAAGTATCAGGCCACTGGCAGTCAAGACAGCACCAGCTTTTAGATAGACAAGCTCCGATGGCCTTATAAACCACAACTCACCTCTTAATCCTTCGCTGGAGTCAAAGCTGTGACTTGGTAAAGAGAAAATCACACCTGGATTCAGGTGTGGGCTCAAATCTGAGCTCATGGGGCTCGTGTTGCTCCCTTACCTGCTCCTAAATGCATGCTGAGAGCATCAGCTCCCTGAAGACTCACATCAGTAGGATTTAGATGAGCAGTTTCTATCCAGTCTGGGTCCACATGCTTCAAACAACCTGAACATAACCTGAGGAACCTGGCATTTGTCTGCAGGTTTCGGAGCCCCAAGGTTACAGACACTGTGTAGAAAAGAAATGGAAGGGGTCAGAGAAGGGGAGAATGTTTTCAGGGTGTCAATCTGTCTCCATCTTGCCCTTAGCTTCAAAGAAAGCAGGACTTCGTGCATTTCTACAAAGACTGTAGCCCCGTGGCATTTTATTACGTCATTCTAAGTTAGTGCTGCTGCAGCCTCATCTTTCCCGTTCCCTGCTGTGTCCTGTCCTCTCCCTTCCAGCAGTACCAGTGCTCCCCCCAAAAGAAAGCAAGTGCCTCTGCCAGGTTTCGTTAGGGACCAGCACAGCGATGCTGAACCTTCATTAATTTAGGCTGCTATGGGACCCTACCTCAAAGCATGTAGCTTGCCCTGGCTGGGAAACTCTGCTTGGCAGCAACCCAGCCAGCCAATGGTATGAACAAAAAAAGAACTCCTCGCCCCAAAACCAAACCAAGCCAAACAACAACAAAAGCAACAACTTTAACACAAAGACACATCAGAAACTTGAAAAATATTTTAAAGGGCAAGAGGATTTGCTCTTGATTTTGCAAAAAATATTTTTAGAAAACAAGATCGTATGCACAGCCTGCTGTCTCATTTGTAACAACTCCTCCTAAGCTTGCAGTCTACAGCTATTCATGTGCACATTTATATATGGTTATAAGGCAGCGACCCACTGGTGTGAGCTGCTGGCTTTTATATCATCTGTTAATGCTCAAAATGAGAGTTATTCTTCAGCATCTATTTCAAATCCAAAAACTTTCTTTGCTGCTATTGCTGTATTACAGAGGACTAAGCATGAATGCTCTTTTTTTCTTAATGCAAACCTTGTGCATTTTATTACCCTGCAAGCACTTGGCATATGTGTTTCCTCTTACTCACAGATTCCCTCTCAAAAGTGCCATTAAGTGCTGGAGCTCCTGGCAACCTTTCTGGAATATCATCATCTCTAACAGCATTCACAGGTACCTTCATTGCAGAGATGCAAAGGAAAAGGGTTTTCCAGTGATATTCCATAGTGGAATCGTGCTGAGCACGTGGCATGGTTTAGGATCGTTAGCAGGGGCCATTTTATACCTTCTTTTCAGTGATCAGCCATCATCATCAGCAGCCATATGTAACATGCTACGTAAACTCGATTCTGGTCTCCGGCAGAGCCCTTCCTGCTAAAAGAGATATATATTTTTTTAAGTATTATTCAGCACAAACATAGATAAAGACAATTTTCACAAGTGCCTTCAGATGAAATAGATAAATTGGATCGCAAATACCTAGTGTTGTTTGCATTGATTTGACAGCTTGTTATGGCTTGACTCCTGAGCTTATGCCTGTTTAATCCAGAAGACAGACTGCTTTACACCACTGTGCCTGCACCTGATCTTACACCACGCAGGACAGGAAGAAGCACTCACAAACAAAAAAAGATTAGCAGAGATTTGTCGAAGAAATTAGAAGCACGTCTTCTTTACCTCTGATAGTAAAGCAATGTGCAGAACTGGAGAGAGTTGAATGCTGAGGATTACTGGCTACTACATCAGGAAACTCAGCGCTTAACGCTGGACCCAAGGGCTCTAATAAGCATCCCAGGTGGCTACCTGGCTGCCAGACTGTTGAAAGAAGAGCGCACTTGTGCAGACCACATTTCCCATCTCGATTATCTTCCTTCTTGTCCAGTGTGTGAGATAAGCTATGAGCAGTGCTGCAGCTGAATTTGGCCTCATCCCATAACAGCTCTTCTCTATGTATTGAGATGTGCCTGAAAAAAATATTAGGTAGTGCAGAGGCTGGGGAGGAAGCAGAATCAAACATGCATCAAACCAGCACACAACATTAAAAGCAAGTAAAGATACTAATAGGTTCTATGTAAAAAGATGAAATAGACAAAACATAAAACAAACAGCAGAAACCAGGCCAAAACACGCTCACAGGAAGGGATCCAAGAGGGCTTTTTTGTGGCAGAGATTGTTTTTGTAGCTTTAGCAGTGTTTCATATTTGAAGGAGGCTCCTTTCAGTCTGCCAGAAGGAATAAAAGATGCATCCAAAGGAGAATTTGAATGACTTGCTTTGGCATAGCTGAGCTAGCGTTCAACTGGACAGAAAGGAGAGTGAAAGTCAAAGCGCTCACTGCACAGACTTTGATAGGAGGTTTCTGATAAAGAAAACTCAGAGAACACCTTGATCCAAAATTGTCACAAAAAAAGATCAGAGCGCCCTGGAGGGCAGAGTCAGTAAAACATCAGCCCTCTTTGATGCCTGTTAAAACTACACCATGGATTTTCATTTACCTGCTGCAGATGGCGATGCACAGTCACAGCAGATTAATCAAGAGGGGTGGAAAAGGTGCTCGCTCCCAGCAGCTTCACTTCTCATAAGCAACAACTGCTTGCAGAGGACGAGTTGACTTGAAAACAAGGAAAGGGTTTCAGCATTATTGATCGGAAGCACTTAAAAATCATGAGCCAGAACTTAAAGAAATCATAAAATTTACTTCCAGATTTTCGTAGCAAGTCAAATTAAGAACGAACGTCAAGTGACAGCTTGCGGCAATGCTTTCCAGGTTTCTGTTTTCAGTTTCAGCCCTACAGTCGAAGAGAGATACACGGATTATTTTTAATGCAGAATGGGATGCTGATGTCAGAGCACTGCAGGTTACCGAGCTTTATGAAAAAACGTGAGCCTCCAAGTAAAACAGAGTTTGCTGCAGTTTCATAGCTAGGAAGTCTCAGAACTGTCTCTGTTTCAAGATTTGGGGGAAACTGAGGCAGAAAACTTTACACCACTGTCAAGATATAAAAAACATTAAGGCCAAAGAGTGCGTAGGCTGAGGGAAAATACTTGTTCAGAGAAGTCATTGGTGCTTGGTGTTGAAGATGCTCCAGGCAAAGATTTTTTCCCAGGGTGAGGAAATTGTGCTTTTTTTCCTAAGCTGTAAATTTTGCTGTTCACTTTGAAATCTTCAGCACTGAGAAGACATCCCGCTGCCTGGGTGACCGTGTTGTCTCACCTCTGCCATTTCCAAAGGGATCTTAATGCCACCCCTGCGTTGCACCACAGCAGCTCCCCACTGACTCAGAACCTAAAGTAGCTCCTGCAGCATCATGGAGCTCCAGATTCAATTACTTAAACTCAAAATTTTGGTATAGCTGTGAACTTCTGCTATTGTACAGCCGAAACCAAGGGAATACTGGAATGGATTTCTTCAGTCTGACCCACATTGGAGTGGATAAATGGAACGGGTGAGGCACGCTGCTTTCTGCTGGCTGAGGGTCTGGCCGTTTGTCTTTTGCATAGAGATGGGCCCAATTGGTGAGGCAATTTAAGGCCTGGAGTCAAAAAATTATATATTTTTATTCTCTGGATTTAACTGGGCTTGAACTTTGAAAGCCAGTGAAGGGATTTGGCCATACATCTCTAATTGAAATCAGTAGGAGATGTGTGGTTAAGTCCTTTAGTCATCAGTGGAAAAATCCTTTGCTGACCTTTCTAATTCCAAATTTCCGTGATATTCAGCACCAGATCTGGATCAGCCACATCCAGCTCTGGGCTGCAATGCCATGGATACTCAGGTCTAAGGCATTCGACCTCCACGGTATTGTCTTTTATAGAACAAAGCACTTTGGTCTATTTTTTTCCATTCTCTTTTATAAATAAACATATAGTTTTGATGAAAAGAGCCTTGGAAACGTTCTTTTCTAACACTTAATAATGGAGTCATAAGAAGAAAGGGGCTCGCTAAAGTTCTGACCACGTTGGGTATCATCAGCTGTGTGAGGAGCATCCAGCTGAAGCTGCTGGGTGTACAACAGGATCCTGCCCAAAGTCGCACGTTTCTAGGGACACCCCAAGGCTGGTGGCCCCCCTACAAATTCATGGCTCCAATTTCAAGTCAAAACCAAGCTAATCCACCTTATTTTTTCAGTTTCCAGCTACGGCCTAGATGAAGCTTTTCAGCAAATACAGCCAGGAGGAGAGCTCTGTCCCAAACCTGATGTGTGGCAGAAGTCCCCGTGTTTCTTTCAGTGCCGTGATGTCCCTGGGGCTCCTCCAGGCCCACACCATCACTGTAATCCCACTGTAATCCCACTGTAATCCTCGCTCTTAGTGAGCTTTCTCACAAGTTGCCAGCCCTGTGGGTGGGGAGGTAATGAACTTGGACTTCATGTGTTCTCCAGTGGGTTAGTGTAGGAAGCTGCTGGCTGACCCGACGGCTGAACTCGGGGAAATTCCTTCTGCTACAAACTCGAGCAGAGCACTAATTCACCCTAAAACACTTAAGTCTCAGGCAGTACTTTCATCATGAGATCAGCCCTTCTTTAACTACAACACTGTGCCCCAACTGCGTGGCTTGGCGCCTCCAGGAATACGATGATACAGTGGGTGGGAAGACAGCTGGTGCGTGGTGCACTTAAGGAGCACAACACCATGTGAAAAGGGCAGGAAGTCCCAAAACCTGCGTGGGGGAATGCGGTGGAAACAGGGGATGTGAGAGCCCGATGGTTTGAGGGAACGGTTCCCCTGGCTCCATGGCTCTGAGTAGAAGAGGACAGCCCTTACCTCCGTGACTGTCACACAGGGGAGGGATGGAAAATAGCCTGCTACAGAGGAGACTGAGAAATGTACCTTGAGCTGGCACGGGGAAAGTGCAAACGTGTGTAACGTTTATGGCCGAGGTTTCTCATCAGCTGCACTACTCAGCAAGGAGCAGCTACGTGTCAGACAGCTGCAGATCGGGAGGAAATAGCTTTCCCAGCCTGGAGCACCCACACTCAGGGGCTGAGGGTTGCTCTCCGGAAACTTGTTCACATCGTGGCTTTTCCCAGTGACATCGTGTTCAATAAAGCAAAACATGTGAGCTGGAATTAAAAAAAAAATACAGACACTTATTAAAAAAAGCATTATTACATTGAGTTTGAAAAACCGTCAGGTAACTGTGAAAACAACCAAGTAGATCAAAACCCGTTTTTACGACAAGTTTGGTGTAAATGAAAAAATCTGCATACTAAAGGGGCCGCTGTCTGGAAGGGGAAGAAGGGCTGGTGCTTCCATTGCAGAGAAACCAAGAGATAGGGAACGGTGCAAATGCAGTCAGGTTGGTAGCGACAGCTCCATTTGGCTCCAAATAAAGTTTTGTATTGAAGTAATTCAAATTAATTGAAAAAAAAAAAAAGAAAGTGGGTTTTTTGGTTCAGTCTTTTGGGAGGAACACTCAAATCTCTCTTCAGCCTCCTCACCTCCTGTTGCTTTCCTACTAGAAAGACGAAACAACCCCGGCGTGGATTTTCCTTCTGACCTGAACCAAACCTCAGTTTCTAATTCTGAGCCTTTACCAGGTAAATAATCACAACGGGATTAACATTTAACAAACGCCAAATTGCTAAAGGAAAAAAACTGACAACAAAACTATTATTAGAATAAAAAAACCCTACCCATTCCTCGGGTTGTTTTAAGGAGCAAAGGAGAGGAATTACGGGGAGCCCCCAGCCCGGCACCACGTCCGATCCCTCTCTGTCCGTGCCGCAGGGCTGGAGGCCATCCAGGCTCCCCAGGCCACGTCACGTGTCGGTGCTGGAACCAGCCCCAGCTCCTTCCCCAGCGCTCTCGCTCCATCGCCCCGCGACGCTCGGCCGGTGCCCGTGGGGAGGGAGCCCCGTGGGCTGAGCCCCTGCTGGCCCCACACAGGCGTGGGGAGCCGTCGGGGCTTTTGGGGTGAAAATGGGAGCCCCAGCCCCGCTCTGCTCGGCGAGGATTTCCTGGGTTTCGCTTGAAGGCTGAGGAATGTCTCCCGCTAACGGCATCCAGATGTGCCTGCTTGGCAGCCCGCTGCCGGGACACAACCGGGGGGACGCGGGATCGGCGCGATCGTGGGGGATGTAAGTATCTGCTGGGGGCTGCGGGGAGCTGGGCTGCGAGTGGGGGGATTCTCCCACCTCCTCCTTGCCACGCTGCCCTCTGCCTCCGGCTTTTCCTTTCGCACCGCGGGTCTGGAGATGTTTTTAAGTGCAGAAGCCCCCATTAAAATCGCTAACACGCAGCAGAGCTGCTGCAGCCCCGAACATGCCCTCCCCCAGGCTGCACGGGTTGAGCTTTACTTTAAGAACTTTCTGTGCGTGCTTTCAGTTGCTTTTACAGGAGAAAGTTTGGGTTTTTTTAGAGAATGGCTGTCTCCCAGCCCCGAGCAGCACGTTACGTCTGCAAATCATCTCCCTCCAGCAAGGGGACACGAAGGTTTCCCTGGGGTTTCAGTCGTGTGCTCAGAGCAAAACATGGGAATGTTGCAGGAAAAAGGGACAGAAAAACAAAGTTCAGCCGCAGCGAGGCAGGAAATCACTGAGCAGGACTTGGAGCAGCTTTTGGCTGATTCTGATAAGCTCACGCCCTGGGAATCGGCTTTACATTCGTGGAGCAGGTCAGCGTGAAGTCCCTCTGGCAGCTGTGCCCAGGTGTAACAGCGGGGCCACGCTAAGGCGCTGGCATCGCTGGTTGGTGGTGCCACATCAGGGGAAGGATCTGTCAGAGGCGAAGGGCGGGGAGAGGAGGGTGGTTGCTTTGATGTGGCTCTTCCTTACCCCACCATGAGCCTGCAAGGCGTTATTCTCCTCCTGCGCCGCTTAAATGAGCAGAGGTGCCCTTCCCAAACCACGCCACGTGGACCCGAGTGATTTAGGGTCGTGGGACTGTGCCGTTCCCCATGGGGATGCTGCAGGTCCCTCAGCTTCCAATGCCAGCCTTCAAGTACCGAGCAGGAGCTCCGACGTTTCTCCACTGTTTCGGTTTTAATACCTGACAAAAAGCTTCCCCCAGGCAGGTAGAAGCTAAGAGGAGGGAACCGAGCAGCTGTCTGCAAGGCCAACACGAGACGGGTGTCGCAAGGCGAGGAGAGGCTGCAATAAAACGGGGCCGGCCAGCTGGGAGGCCAATGAAACCACACGTTTCAGGACTGGGGCAAAGCAGGGAGATAAATAAGGGCTCCTGTCCTGCAACAGCAGGGAGCCCATCTGCTCATTCGCAGCTCTGCCAGGAAAGCTGCAAGAGGCCTTTGCAGTGAGACCCGTGCCTCTGCCACCAGCAGAGCTTTTGCCTCCAGGTGCTGCGATGGCAGCGGTGACGCTGCACGGGGCAGGAGCAGCCGTGGCACTGGCCAAAAACCTCTGAGCAGCTCCAGCATGTGGACGGATACCCAGAGACCCAGCACCGGGCTCCAGGGGGGCTGGTGCCTGCTCCGGGGGCTGCAGACGGGCGGCCCTGTGCTGCCTTCACCCGGCTCTGGCTCTCACTCCTGAGCCCTGGGAAAGGTCTGCTAAGACATTCAGCTAATTAAATTCTCCAGCCTGGTTTTGGTTTGTTTATAGCCTTTAAAATTGAACGAGACAGGCTCTTTTTTCTGGTTAGGCAGCTTAGCGATTGTTTTTCTTACTTCGTTTTTCTGGGGCTTTGCACTAACCCACACGCCAAGGGGCAGCTCTTCCCTTCCAGCCCGCCCTGTCTTCTAGGCACAACCGAATCATTCAGCATCCCTCCTGCGAGGCAAGGGACGTGTCCAGCACCAAACCCACATAAAGCATCAACGTTGAGGGTTTTGTTGTTTCTTTTGCCTGTGGAAAACAAACAAGAACAAAGAAGAAGCCATGCAAGACAAAAGCTGGTTACGTGACACCCAGACGCAGAAACTGAACTGTAGACTGCAAACTAACACAGAACCGTATTTCTTTTTCACTTTAAAGGCTACAAAACCAGCTCAAACTGTTAAACCCGAGTTGTTTCATGCGTGTTTTGATGCACTGGATGCTGACATTTTCCTGCAGGCACCCATGGGATGAAAAATGCAGGCAAGACCTGCACCGAGATAACTCAGCTGAGATTTTGAAACCTTTGTGTTTGCACTTCACTTCTGATTTCTTTACAAGAGGAGGACGGCAGCCTGGCACAGCTCAAAGGGAACAAAACAACTAACTGTCGTGCAAAAACACGCGCTCGTTGCCTTGCCTGTTCAGCAATGTATTTAATTTAATCCGGTGCTGTGGATTTCTAATAGGAGCATAAGCTGGAGCAGCAGGAGGCTGAAGGAGCCTGGGATGCTCCTGGCACCCTGAGGGGCTGTCGGAGGCCAGAGCGGTTGCCAGCAGGAGGGGAAGGTCTGGAGGAAACCCAGCATCACCTGGGAGCAGCGCTGGTGAATGGCAGCTCTGTTTCTCTGCCCAGCACGGAGCCTGCGGAGGGGGAGCCTGGTCCCAGAGCTGGGCAGCAGCTGCGCCAAGGGGAGGGACAGCACAGAGAGCGAGGCTTAAAGAAGAAAGAAAATCTAATAACCTGCTGCTGAAGTCCCAGTAGCTGTCAGACAGCCTGGAAATTGCAGAAACCTGTTTGCAGCAAGGAGCAGATTTCTTCTGGGGGACCAGGAGGTCCTCAGTGCCCGCAGGACCTGATGCACAGGGCAGTCGGTGACGTGGTCACGAGGACACGTGGTTTCCCAGCACAAGAGCCAGTCAGTGTCACTTTGGCAGGGAAGGCAGGGTTGCAAAACAGCTGAGCACAGCCTCTTGCCACCAGTTTTGCTGTGAGGTCCTCCAGGACCTGCCCTAGGAGCTCACAGCAGGATGGGAGCAGCAGGGCTGAGCGAAGCAGTAACACTTTGTGCAGGGAGGTGAGCGGCAGCACGTGGATTTAACATGGGGAAGATGCTGCACAGAAATGATTCTGCTTCTGCTGAGAGCAGAGCTGATGGAGGAGACGGAACAGGGATGCAGAGTGAGTTTCACAACTCTCCTCTTCTGCTAGAGGCCCAATCTAGCTTCTGCTGGCAGCTAGCAGGCACAGCCAGGATGGAAAAACTGCTGGAAACAAGCTGGGATTGGGACATGCACACGGCCCTCCTGCCGCCTGCAGGGCCCCAGTGTTGGGTTTTGAGCCTTGTTCGCATGAAACAGGTTCAACAAACACAAAGCAGAAGTAGCCAAAACCTGAAGTGCTGTCTCAAAGCACCCCCGACACCCCCAGTTTTCCAGGTTCCCCTGAGGACTGCAGAAACTCATAGAAGCCAGTGGTGGTGGATCCCCAACACTTTCTTTAGCTCATCTTACAGAGAAATGGGTAAAACACCTCTGTCAGCAACCACAGCCCCTTTGGTGCACAACCCAAACCTACCAGCAGCCGCTCCAGCTTCAGGAAGGAGAAGAGGACCTGGGTGGGAACGCTTGGCAGGGCAACAAGCTGCTCTGGGGCCAAACACAGCCTCGCTTTGCTGTTTTGGACCCTCTTCCTTGACGTTTGCAGTTTGCTTTGATACCACAGCTGCTTTTCCCGAGGCTGAGCAGGTTGAGTCACCACGCTCCCAGGCACAAAGCAACGTGCCAGAATCACCAAGGCGTCTTGACCGAAATCCAGGAATGGGATCCAGAGGCTTTTCCCCACGTGTGAGCAGGAACGCCAAGTAACGGAGACATGACAGCTGCTGCAAGAGAAGGAAATTTCCAGGATGAGCCCAAAGCTTCATGGCATTCAACTGAGAATGAAGGATTAGCAGGTTTTTATTCATTATTTTTTTTTAAATCATCATTTAACTGCTTTTATAGCAGCACCTCTTGGCTGTCATTCAGAATCCTTCTCTTAAATAAATGAAAGCCAGGAGGCTGGTTTGACCAGACGAGGAGGGACGGCTTTGGACTCGAGGCTGCTCACCTCTGCTTTGCACTACCTGTGGAACAAAGTGCTCTGGGTCACCTAGGGCTCCTCCACCTCTTCCCACCATCACTCCAGCCTCCCCCGAGGCACCGTTTGATGCAACAGCTTTGTAACCTCAGCGATGCTTCCCAAGCTGGACAGAGACCCCCAGAACATCCTAGCACAGGGGCACCCACGCTGGATGTAGACGGGTGGCAAGATGCTGTGCTGAGAAACGCTCTGCTGTACTCTTTTATCTGGCATCAAATATTTGCCGAAAGCCCCATAAATTTGTCTTTTTTTCTCCCCAGTGTCAAGGAGGATGAATAATCTTTTTGGCTCAAGGACATGCCAGAGTCATCAATCGCTCTCGAGCGAGGGACAGGACAGCTTTTCCCACACTGACGTTCATGGGTAGAGCCGACACCTGTGTTAGGATTGAGGATATTTCCTCCAGAAGAAGGAAATACATAACCTTGACGGGAAAACCCATATAATTCAATCAAGGATTCACATCAAAGGCTGGCAACTCCTTTTGAAAATTCGATGTCTATATTCAGTGCTGAACTGCTTCATTTCAGCATGAAAATTGCTATTTCAGATTCTTTTCTTTCAATAAATGAAAACACAGAAGAAAATCTGGGCTATCAGCCCAGGCGTGTAACAATTTAGGGCTTTTCTTGGCTTTTTTGAGGGCCCTTATTGCCAGATCCTGAGATGCTGGCAGGATAAATCTGTAAGTCATGGAAATCATGAGTTTCATGACACACATGTTTTATTCCAAACCCTAGCTGATAAAATTAAACACGGGAAAGAGCCAGGACTTTTATCCAGCTCCTTAATTACCATCTGGAGCTTGGCAGCTGAAATAAGATCAAACTTTTGTATAGAAAAGGGAAGAAAAGATTAAAAAGGGGAAAGAGAGGAGACTTTACAAAGAGCTTGAGCAGAGACACCCAGACATCCCAGCACTGCCAGGATCCATCCTGCCAGGGGCTGCACATCTCCTGCTCACTACAGAGTGCCGTGGTTGCCTATCCCATTACAGCAGAAGTAGGAAAAAATCCTCAATTTTAGCTTCCAGGAGTCTTTTTGAGAAAAGCTCCCTCTTTCAGGTAGCTGAATATCACCCAGCAAAACTAGTTGCTTCTGATGTGCGCCCACGTAAGAGGGAGGGCACGGCTTTCTGTCTCCTTAGCAGGTCCAATTCAGTGGCACGCCCTGGGTGTAGTGGGACCTGCCTTTCATTTCCTGCAGCTCCTGGAAAATTATTGAAGGTAATTTGAAAAAAAAAAGCCTGCTGGGAACTGTGTGGTGACAGATAAAGGACGATTTAGCACACGAGATGCACAGCAGGCTGCTGCAGAGACCACAATCAGGACTCACCAAGGGTAACAGATGTGAAATGCAAACAGCTTGTAGGCATTCGAAGGGACTCTTTCAGCAGGCTGAAGATAATGATAATTTGAAAGCTGGACTGGTTAAAACATCTGCCTGGCCTAGGAGGGAAGCAGAAGGTACAGCAAAGTTATGCTTGGAAAAGAGAGAGCTGGTACCATGTGGCAGCACGCTGCTCCGCATTTCAACAGCAACTTGGAGAGGGGGGTTAAATAGCGATGGAAAAAACAAAATATTTTCAAATACGGAGATCCAAGAAATGTGCATCTAACAATTTTAAATGTGCTGGCCAAGAAATTAACTGCTTTAATAGCTTTAATTTTTCATAAATCTTGAAATGCTGCATCCATCCCTGGGGGTAAGGCTATGCCACACTTTAATGCTTCGGCATTCCAGGCTTGTCAATCGCATTTTGAGCTACAAAAAGCTTACCTTATGCCTGATACAGAAATCGTGGTTAATAAACAATTAGCAGGGGACACAACCTGTGACATTGAAGAAAGATTTGCTGGAAAAGGGTGCCACTGAGCTAAAGAGGGTCCTGGTTTAGGTCGGAATACACGATTCTGACAAGTCCGTAGCTGTCTGGGAGCCGTGAGTCAGCCTGATGGCAACGGGGCTTGATTGGAGGCTGAGAATCCACCCGCGTGCTCTCGAGTTTAACAATGCTGAAAACAGTTAAGTACAGGAAAAATTGTGTAGAAAACCACAAGTCCTGGCTCCTCCACCCTCTTCTGTCCTGCCTCAGTGTTTCAGTCCCTTAAGCGAAGACAGACTGCGGTGCAAGCAGACAGCTTTGGCTTGAGAAGTTTTTGGATAATATTTTCCCAGCTTGTTCAAAGACAATGACAGCAAACTGTAATACCTTCAGACATATCTTCTACTAATACGGAACAGGCAAGACAGATTTGTAAATCACATAGGAGTGTAAAAGATTGCTGGTGTGGCCACAGCCAGCTCCCTCCCTGAACTAGATTTATGTCCTGCTTTCTGCCTTCTTGTAACTCTCCTTTTTTTTTTTTTGTTTGCAGCTGAAGAACTGATGGAATGAGACAGATCATCTCTGGGAAAAGTGTAAGTGGAGAATCAAATCTTGTATTTCAAAAGGCAGCTTCACCTCTCATATGTGAATAAAACACTCCTAATGCTAGTCTCTGCCTTGCTTCTGTGTTTTGGGATTTATTTGTGCATCTCTTGCTTAGTGGTTAGGAGCAGGTTGGCAGAGGCAACGTGCCTGTACCCTTTCTAACCTTATTAATGGAAGAGAAGTTATTTATAACAATTTAATATTTTATAAAGATTACTGGCAGCAAAAGGGCCCTATGTGCATTCAAGAGCGTGCCTAATGTATTCATTTTGAAGGCATAAATCACAGTTGGTTTGAGAGTTCACTTTGGGTTTGGGGAAAACTCCAGTGATTGTCCAGCTACTGAAAACCTGCTTGTCAGCAGCCAGTTACCAAGTCAGAAGGAATTAAAACCCAACGATTTATGGAAGTACGGCACTGTCCATCGGTCCCTGCTTTGGGAAGAGCAAGGTCAAAAAGCCTCTGAAATGGCAAAATGCATTCCGGAGGGAGGGACATGGGAGGAAGGACAGATTAGTGGTGTATTTTGGGAGTGGGTGTATTTTGGGATTGGTTTTCAGGACGTTGGATGACTTCTTGGTGACTTACACCTAAGCAAGTCACAGAGCCAGATCAGTGGGATCTGTGTTAGGTTTGGGACCTCTGCATCTCTTAGCAAGTTCCTTACCATGTCTTGGTGTTTCCATGAATAAAATGTGTTTGCTGGCTTGTTTTCTAAATCCTGCTTGGTGACATGCTGCACATTTATTTACAGATGAGCATTGGTGCCAGGCAGCTCAGACACAGCTTTTAGCAGTCCCAGGAAGACCGCGGGGACAATGAGAGTTCGTCTCAAAGGGGACGCGATCTGTACCCTTCTCCTGGTGGTCGCACTTTGCTCTTTACTCTACACCCAGCTGGAGCATTTTGCCCCAAAAGGGCACAAGGAGCCGACGCAGAAGCAGCCCTCAGTAACGCAGCGAATACTCTCTGACCCCAGAGCACCTGGGAGACCCACACCAGCAGAGGCAACAGCACCCAGACCCCAGTTAATTCCCACTGTTAGACGAGCAGAAGCAGCTAACACCAGGGTCCAAACTACAACCCCAGCCCCAGCAGCCGATTCTGCTTTCAACTTCAAGCGCTATCTCCTCAACAAGGACAACAGGAACTTCAACCTCCTCATCAATCCAGCCCAAGAAATGCAAGAGAACACCCGGAGGTCCCTTTCTGCTCATCGCTATCAAATCGGTAGTTGAAGACTTCGACAGACGAGAGATCGTCCGGAAAACTTGGGGCAGGGAGGGTTTGGTGAACGGGGAGCAGATTCAGCGAGTGTTCCTGCTGGGAACACCAAGGAATAGGACAGCACTGGCCACATGGGAGACCCTGATGCACCAGGAGAGTCAGACGTACCGCGACATTTTACTTTGGGACTTCATGGACACTTTCTTCAACCTGACCCTGAAGGAGATCCACTTCCTGAACTGGGCTGCTGAATTCTGCCACAACGTGAAGTTTATTTTTAAAGGTGATGCTGACGTTTTTGTTAACATCGAGAACATTGTTGACTTCCTCGAGAGACACAACCCCGCCGAGGACCTCTTTGTTGGGGACATCATCTACAACGCCCGGCCCATCCGCGTTCGGAAGAGTAAATACTATATCCCAGAGACCATGTACGGGCTCAGCATCTACCCTGCCTACGCAGGAGGAGGAGGTTTTCTGCTCTCCAGCTGCACCATGAGGAAGCTCTCCAGGGCTTGCAGAGAGGTGGAACTCTTCCCCATCGACGATGTCTTCTTGGGCATGTGCTTACAGAGAATCAACCTCAAACCCATTCTGCATGAAGGTTTCAAGACCTTTGGAATCGTCAAGCCTTCTGCTGCCCCGCACCTACAGACGTTTGAGCCCTGTTTTTACAAAGATCTCATGGTAGTTCACAGCCTGAAAGTTGCTGAGATCTGGCTGATGTGGAACCTGCTGCACAGCCCGAGGCTTTCCTGTACTCAGAAGAAGCAAGTGAAGAAGCCTTTCCAATGGAAGAGGAAAGCTCAAACAGCAACACAGGCATCGCCCCTCAGATAATGCAGGCAGACTGCAACAAAAGCACAAGGAAAAACAGCTGAGAAAGGGAACGTCAAATTTTTGCAACCAAATGAACAGACTTTAGAAGAAGAGGGCTTTAGCACAGCCTATTTACGAGCAGACGACAAAAACTATTGCAGAAATGTGCCAAAATTCCCCATTTGCACACACATACCACGTAGGTCCTTCTCCAGTAATGTGCCCAAATAATCCTAACAGTATCTTTAATTTATTATTATTTATTAGAGCAACATTAGTGCTTAGCAGGCCAATGTGTACAGACACATTGCAAAATGCAGTCTGGGGAGATGTTTCAGCATTATTAGACATGCAAAATGGAAGGAGAAAGAAGAGACGAGGCCAAGAAGCACAGGGATCGCTGTCAACTTATTCCTTTGATTAGGACTGGAACTACTCAGACTCAATGAGAAACAAGCAAACTACACAATTAACTAGAGCAAAGGAAATCAGGTGTCCTCAGTGGGTGCTCAAATGAAATCACCACTGCCTGGTCGGCTTTCTGTGAGCCTCAGAGGAGAAGAAAAGAACAGCTTTGAATTGGAGTCCCTTATATGTTGCAGAACTACAAGAAAACAAGCGTGGGGGCTAGGGCTGACACAGCTGGCTGAGCAGAAGCCATATGAGTAGGTAACTGGGAAGGGGTAAGATCATTGAAGGGCCTTTAAAAAAAGGAAAAGAACTTTCAGTTGATCCCTTTTCATGTCTTGATTTTTCATTAATTGTAGCAACACACGAGTTCAAAGACATGCTCCACTGACACGCTGTCAGGACTCAGGGAGCAGGTTATGGCACTTTAGCGAGCTCAGACTCTACATTACACTGACTGGCACTCAGTGAAGACTCAGAGCTGTCCAACAGCATCCGACCTCTCTTACCACGTAATCCAGCTCTTCCAAAAGCTATCTGGAGAGATCCTTTTGGCCTTTTGCTTGTGAGAGTGAAATCACAGAGCTGCTGCTTGCATCACTTTTGAGAGCTCCTTCAGACCACAGGAAAACTTGTCAATGGACTGGGCTGGTTCCTCCAGACCTCGGTGCTCTTCCTGGCACACAGTCAGCTGCAAAGAGCAGCCAAGACTTTCAACATTGCTGTGGGTGTCATGGGAAGGAAGAAAGCAGTCTTCAGACAAAAGGACTTCAGAATAAAAGCCTTTCTAAACTTATTGCAAAAAAAGCAGCAGCAGAGCAATTTTTCTGTTGGTAGATGACTTTTCGTGTTTCAGTTAGTCTGTAACTTCATAAATATTTTAAACATCCGACAAGAACACTGGACTGCTTCGTTTTTCAAAGAACTGTCAATACTTCAGAGCACTTTGTTTTTCCAGCAGCAGATTACCATAACAGAACATCCTTTTCTTGGATATCAAAGAGGAAGCAAATCCCTCCAAATCAGGGTTAAAAAGCAATGGTATACTCGAGGCAAAGAGCCTGGATTCACTTTTGATACTGGATTTGCTAATCCTTTTGCAATTTTTCCCCCCCCCTCAACAAAACATCTATTCATCAGAGTATCCCAGATGCCATCCCCCTTCAGGAGGACACATCCACACAGCTTCAAAGGCAATCACAGTGTCATGAACCTTCAGGAAGCTGCTTTCCCTTAAACAGAGCCTGCAGCACAGCTGCACTTCAAGACCTGGGTGTGGCCTTCCTCCCATCCAGCTGCAGGCTGGACTTTGCTCTTGAATTAACTATGCACAAAACGTGAAGGAAAATATGCTGGTGGTATCTATCAACAGACTATTGAAAAGAGCCTTAGATGTTATCATAATCTTCAGAGTTTAAGCCCTAACGTATTTCCATGGAAAGGCTGGCCATGTAGAAATCAAAGAACCAAAAGCTGATTTCGGATATTTTCAGGACAAGAGCCTGAAACCCAAAATTCTCATGCAAGCCTCACAAGTTGCTCTGTAAAGTGTGGGAATAAGCCAGAGCCTCAGTGGTGGG